CACTGGGCGGGGTTTGAACTCGTGGTACATGTAGCAGGTTGCACGGCTGCTTATCTTTCTTAATCACTCACAGTAGTACTTTCTTGGATGCATCTGGGTGCGCAAGTGAGGTCCACAGACCATAACGGCCTCAGCGGAGACGAAAAAGTCCTTGTGCGAGTATTATGCCCTGATTACCCCATAGGTCCGCTCCGTATGATGAGCTTCTGACTGGACCTGTTACAAGCATAGACGGTGCGTCTATGTGAATGGAGAGAAGCACTGATGCGCTAGCTACATATGTGCCAACCTGGAGTGAAGCCGATATGGATAATTGGTGCTGGAGCTGGTGCTTTCAGTTTTCTCCTTTTTATGGTTGGTGCCACTTCTTTTTTTTTTTTTTTTTTTTTGGGAAAGACATGCTGATCTAGTCCTTGGGAGCAGTACGTGCTGGGAACCAGACCCAGCACCCTGTATTGAAAGTGTACAGCAGCACGTGCTGGGAACCGGACCCAGTGCCCCGTATTGAAAGTGTACAAAGCTCTTTGTAGTGCTGGGGCCTTTACGTGGTTTCAGCTGAGAACCAATTACGAACAGAAGAGCACCCACTCCCCACCAATTAAGATCAGAAGAACATCCACTCCCCAGAGGGGCCTTTCAAGCCCCCTCCCCCCCCCCCCCCCCCCCCCCCCCCTAATGTTCCGTCTTCCACACCATTGGAGCTCCACTAGAGAGAGAGGCTGTGGGAGAAAGGGGTCACCAAAATCACACATGGGCCGCAGCGGAATCGACCCATCAGTGACAGTCCATTCACGGAAGTAAACGAGATTGCCGTTGGCGGGGCGGTCCTGGTCCTCCCCTCGTACCCCACCCTGCCATCTTACCTCTCCCATCCCCCCCCCCCCCCCCTGAGTACCCCCCCAGCCAATTGTTGCTGGAAAGCTTTATTTGCTCTTGAATTTCTTTTTTTCCTGTGCAAAAAAACCGACTTTAGGTTTCTTCCTTCGTTGCTTCCCATTGCGTTCGAATTCCCTTTTGTATATATTGCCGGGGATACTGCCCTTGAAATCGCTGCCGGACCAAAAGGACGTTTTCCATTTTCCATTTCTAATGTACACCCCCTGTGAGCCACGAGGGGCCCAGAGGACGGCCTTTTCCTACCCAGTTAAAGAATATGGGGCCCATATTGGCTAGCCTGGTCCGGTTCCAAGAGCCACACGGTATCGCCCTCGAATCCCAGGGCCATTTTTGGTCACACGGTATCGCCCTCGAATCCCAGGGCCATTTTTGGTCACACGGTATCGCCCTCGAATCCCAGGGCCATTTTTGGTCTGTGCCTCAGTGGCCCCAATTCCGGTCCCACCACCTCCATACGCAGACGGAGCTTGGGCATTGAATGAAGATGTGCTCAATAGTCTTGCGGATGCCTTAGGGCATGTTTTCGCACTAGGATCCGAGACTTTTTCTTCACCCTCTGGGCGCAACTGCCAGTAATTGCGGTCAGATACAAAGAGCAGAGCCACTGCCACAGCGTTAACACGACGGCAGGGCTAGACCCCTCTGTTCCAAGGTGGTCTTGTCGATCAACCAGTCGTTGGTCGGAAGATGGCTTTTTTTTTTTTTTTCTTCTTGAATTGAGCTGATAATGGGGAAACGGAAGGGAGTTTTCTTGGTTTTATACTTCGACATGGTGACGTAGAAGTTGTGTTGGAGCAGAAGTTGGATGTTGATACTGGCGTACGAATGGTTACACCAACCCTCGCTTGTGGAAACTACCAGCCTCTTCTGTTTTTCTCAGGTCAAAGAGAACAGGAGGGCCTTGTGTGGTGCTCATGACAGGTGGCAGAGATTAAGTTAAGGGCATACCCGTACTACCGTCTTCGCCGAATAAAACGTGGGGTCATTATCGGTATACCCGTTACTGTCTTCGTCCGAATAAAACGCTGGGTCATTATTGCTGGATGTGGTCCGAAAGTTACCCCAAATACAGCTATAATGACCGGGCATTTTATTCGGGTGAGGACAGTAGGAGTCTCCATTATGTATCTGACCGCAGTTACAGGCAGTTATGCCCAGAGGGCGTAGAAAAAGTCTTAGATCCCAGTGTGAAAACATGCCCTAAGGCATAAAAAGGAAAGAATGCTGGAAAACAGTTGAGCAGAGACTGAAGTTAAGTGTACAGATGCTCAAAAAAGGTGTCCTGACGCTTGGAATGTGTGCACAAAGATGTCGCAAGGGGGAAAAAAGGGAGGGGGGGAGGGAGAGGAGAGAGGAGAGAGGGATTACATCAGGCACACGTATTCTCATGCACATTCCTAAAATGGGGAAGATACCCATTTTAGGCATGGCATGAACACAGTCAACAATTGAAGGACTGGTCTCCTCCTCGTACTACCTTCTTCCCCCGAAGATAACGTACGGTCATTATAGCAGCTGTATTTGGGGTGTCTTTTTTCAGTCTAAACAGGGCTATAATGACCGTACATTCTATTCGGGGGAAGAAGGTAGCCAGGCACATAAATGCTCGAAAACAAAAGAAGCATGCATTCAATCAAATGAGGAACACCGAAAGAAATGGGGGAAAAGAAAGAAACACTGGAAAGCACAGAATAGATGTTTTCCACTGGGAGGGAAAGGTTCAGGGGTTCAGGGGTCCCCTGTATAGGCTTAGGAGTAGTGGTAGGTAGGTAGGTAGGTAGGTAGGTACGCAGGTAGGTAGGTAGCGAGAGGTGAATTTGAGAGAAGAATCTATAGCTTAGAGTGAAAGAGAGAAAGGTTCAGGGGTCCCCTGTATAGGCTTAGGAGTAGTGGTTGGTAGGTAGGTAGGTAGGTAGGTAGGTAGTGAGAGGTGAATTTGAGAGAAGAATATATAGCTTAGATTGAAAAAAGGTAAGTTCAGCCAATTATGAAGAGGAATGTTAGTTGCACAAGGATGTGGCGGAGGTGGGGAGAAACTACAGTCTTCCCGCGAATACAACGTGTGGTCATTATAGCTGAATTTAGACCTAAAGATGGACCAAATTTGGCAGTAATGACTGTGCGTTGTATGGAGGGGAAGACTGTAGGGGTTGCTTTTACTTATATCCCATTTTCTACAATCAGCTCCCCCATTGCTGTTGTCCCCTGTCCGTCCCTCGCTCTTGCATTTTTTATCTGTGAAGGCAGGCTGCCAGAGTGGCCTGGGACCACTTGCCCGGCTGGGCCAAAAACAAATAAAAACTAGGCGACCAGAGTGGCCCGGGGCCGCTTGCCAGGCCGGGCCAAAAAAAAAATTAAAAGTAAAAAATTAAGATATTTTTAAATGTTATTTCTCATTTTAAACTTTGTAAAGAATCTCGATGTGACTCTGAGGCAAAAGTTGTTCAGTTTATTTTTCTGCGTAACATGTTTTTTTTTTTTTTTTTGTTAGGATCAGTGGTCCCTGCACGGCCGGGCCGTCCGGGAAAATAGGGTGACCCGGGCGGCCCGGTTGGTAGCCTAGATGAAAAAATATATCCTGATGAGTCGGTGAAACTCCGACGAAACAGTTTGTCACAGCCCCTCGTTTGTTGTCCTCTTCTCCCTCTCTGCCTACGGTTTACCGGGCAGTTCTATTTGACGATATATATATACAGGGTTACCAGCCCGTACGTAGGTCCCCGGGCAGACCTCCGTACGTACGGGCGTTCGGGGTCCCGTACGGGGTCCGAACCCGACGACGTTCGGCCCCCGCCAAAAAATATTTCGGGGTCTAAAAATATATATTTTTTCTGAATCTTTTTTTGTGAGTTCTCTATGACGTGAGGTACACGCCTATAAATTTTCAAGTCATTTGGCGCAGCGAAATAAGAATTAAAAATCGCCAAAGATGGCGGTGTCAAAAGACTCAAAACATGCTTGCCCACGTTTTTTTTCACTTTTTACTTTTTGTTTTGACTTTAGTCCGGGGTCAAAACAATTTTATTATTTTTTGAAACTTTTTTAGTGTGTTTTGCATTATGTGAAGTACACATATGTAAATTTTCAGGGCATTTAGCTGTTCCCAAAAAAAATGAAAAATCACCAAAGATGGTGGTGTCGAAAACGTGCGCGCAAACTCACTAGATTTAAATCTTTTTTTATTTTTTGTTTTTTTATTATTAGTATTTGTTTTTCGTATTTTATTTTTATTTCAAATTTGCAAGGAATTTGGATGTAATGCTCAGGCAAATCTTGTTTAGTTTATTTTTCTTCATAACATATCTTTTTTTCAGATTTTTTCTAGCCTACCAGCCGGGCGGCCCGGGTCCCAGGTGGCCAGCAGGAAGGTCCCAGCAACAAAAAAAAAAAAAAGGTTTCCAAAAAATCCAAAAAAAAAACTATGTTATGCAGAAAAATAAACTGAACAACTTTTGCCTCAGGGTCACATCGAAATTCTTCCCCAATTTTAAAATAAAAAATAAAACTTATATTTGTTTTATTTTTATTTATTTTATTTTTTTTGGCCCGGCCGGGCAAGTGACCCCGGGCCACTCTGGTAGCCTAGGATTTTTTGATTTTTTTTTTTTTTTTTTTTTTTTGGGTCCGCGTTCAGCCGAACGGCCGAACGCATCCCCAAGGGGTCGCATACCTTCGGGCGTTTTGGTTCGGGCGTTCGGCCCGTCCCGAATGCCGGTTACCCTGTATAGATATATATATTAAATTTGGTAAAGAGTTATTTTGATGTGACCCTGAGGCAAACGTTGTTCAGTTTAATTTTCTGCATAGCATAGTTTTTCTTCGGTTTTTTGAAAAATTTTTTTTTTTTTTTTTTTTTTTTTTTTGCCAGGACCTTTCCTGATCCTGCACGGCTGCGCCGCCCGGGAAAATAGTGTGACCCGGGTGGCCCAGCTGGTAGCGTAGCTGTGAAGTATATTAACTGGAAGACGGTGGTAAAATTGGTCGCTGTCGAGTCACGTTCTTTGATGTACGGCACGTGCGTGGTTTTGTTGCTGTTTGCGTCAGACATAGTGACAAGTTGAGTGCACAAACGCATGAAATTGTTTGGTCCTTGGCTTTTGCAGGTATTTTGATTTGAGGGTATGCAGACTGGAGCGTGTGAGGAAGGGAAGGTGCATCAAGGGACGTGCCTTCTAGTGCGAGGTCCATGATGTGGATCCAGCGGTAGGTGTGGTCTACTTTCCTACGTGCAATAGTTGTGTTCGCCCTTGTGTACATGTCCATAACTAACTAGCTTGCGATAGGTTTGTGCAGACTTGTGCTGGTATGGGCCCTTCTTTTTATTTGTGGGCTGATCTGCAGGACATGGGTGTAGATATAAGACGCATAGTTAGATAGGCAGGCAGGTAGGCAGGTAGGCAGGCAGGTAGGACAAGAGAGAGAGAGAGAGAGAGAGAGAGAGAGAGAGAGAGAGAGAGAGAGAGAGAGAGAGAGAGAGAGAGAGAGAGACAGGGTGTCGAGCTGTTGCATTTCAAGTATGAGTGCAGGGCTGTTGGGCGGTTTATTTGGGGCATGAAAAAGGCTGGTAGTAAATCCGCAGTGGTCCTCTGAATGCATTCAGGACCTTGTTCCTGAGGTTTGAATGGGATGTGTGGTATATGGAACAGGCGATTGTCTCAGTCTCCAAGTCTCCGGCTGTAACTGCGTAGATAGCGGTTGCTTTGTCTTTGATGACAGTATGTGCATTTTCTAGGACGTCTTTTTCCCAACGTTATTGGGGGCACCCTCCTCCCCACTTCCCCCCGTTTTTCTTATCAGCGCAGGGGTGCCACTTTTGGCTCTCTTTTATCAAGTTTTATGTCCTTTTTTGGTCCTGCCTTCTCTGTTTCCCTGCAAGCTTAATCCTCACCTCCAGGTCCCAGGTGCATTCGAAGAGGTGGGGCTTGTGTGTATGGAGTTTGTAGCATGTGCATGTGTTGCACGTTACATTATGCTGATTGGGAGAGGAAGGGACGGGGGCGGAAGATGTGCCTGTGAGAGAGTGAAGACTGGCCGGAGAGGGTTAGCTCTCAGGGTCGGCTGAGCGTACGTAGTCTGTGCAGCGATCTTCCGCCCCTGTGGGAGAGAGTGAAAGCAGGCCGGAGAGGTTAAGGGCTCAGGATTGGCCGAGCGTACGTTGTCTGTACGTTGACGGGGGCGGAAGATGTGCCCGTGAGAGAGAGTGAAGACTGGCCGGAATGAGCAGCGATGCTCCGCCCCTGTGGGAGAGAGAGGGCAGGCCAGAGAGGGTAAGGGCTCAGGGTTGGCTGAGCGTATGCTGTCTGTTCATTGAGGGTTGGACGAGCGTACGTAGTCTGTCTTACAGTCGATGTATGGTCGGGAGGCGAAATGAGCTGCGATGCTCGGTCCCTGTGGGAGAGAGTGAGGGCAGGCCAGAGAGTGGAAGGGCTCAGGGTTGGCTGTCATACAGCGAGGTAATTTTGCTCTCGAGTCCCCCTTGCCTGTAAACAGTACGGTGGGACAGGTAGGGGAGGGTTAAGGGTCCAGGGTTGGCGGAGTGTACGTTGTTTGTCTTGCAGTCAATGTACTATTGGGAGCCTAGCCATGCAGCGAGGTAATCGCCGCTCTTTAGGATTCCCTTGTTTGGACACAGCACTGTTGGACATGTAGGAGATGGGAAGGGCTCAGGGTTGGCCGAGTGTACGTTGTCTGTCTCACAGTCAATGTATGGTAGGGAAGTGGGACGTGCAGCGAGGTAATCGCAGCCCTTCAGTTTCCCTTGTTTGGACATGGTATGGTGGGACAGGTTCGAGACTGTAAGCGTCCAGGGTTCGCTGAACGTGTGTGGCTCGTCTTACAGTCAATGTATGGTAGGGAGTCGTGACTTGCAGAGAAGAGAGGTAATCATGGCCCTTCAGTTTTCCTCGTTAGGATACGGTTACGGTGTGACTGAGTCTATTGCACTGTCGTGTGTGATCCTATGGTGACATACATACTTTCTTCTTTAGGTGAAGTCCATTGCATGTTTTACCTGATGATGATTTGCGTTTC